TACGTAGTTCATGGGCAAATTTTCGAAACGGGAAGGGCCGTAAATAATTCAACAGGTTTCGATGACACTTGAATCCTACGGTTGGTAGTCACGACACGGCCAGGAATTTCCGAGTTCTCGGGTAGTTGAAAGTTTTGGGGCGATGGTCAAAGAAGCGCGGCTGAGGATTTACGGTGGTTTTGCGAAAGATCAGGAGAGAACGGTTTGCGGCCACCTCAATTGTGGCCACCGAGCACCCGTTTCTCGCTTTGCCATTATGACTTCACCTGACTGGATGAGTCTCGAGACCTTGAACAAGGGATGACACACTGCGAGTTTCATAAAAAAAGAAAAAAAAAAATCATAAATTTTGATTGACAGATTTTACCGTTTTCGGCCAGAGAATACACTGGCAGCCGATGCTTCATTGTTTTAAAACGAGGAATAGATCACAGGGATTACAGAATTTTCATTCATTAGATTATGATCATTTGGTTTTAAAGTGAAAGATAGATTATAATAAATCATAAGGAACTTTCATTCTGTGGCTCTCTAATATCAATCAGACGCAAAAAAATATATTGTACAAGGTGATTCACGTAACTTGCACGCCTGAAATAACTTTACAACTAATGTTTGCAGTTAAACTGAAAATCATTGATCGATCATTGTTATGTAGGCTACATGTTACACATTTAGCGTATATCTTTTTATACGATGGAAATATTTTTTTTATTTTCTTCTGTGCTCTTTCTTATCATTATTTAAATTCAAACAGCTCCTCTTACACTGTCGAGTTTCACCATAAATGAAAATCATTTCTCTCGCTTCGAATAATGTGAATCGCTTGTCGATACATCAAGGCAAATTTTTAGACAAATGAACGTACAATAATGTTAGCTGCATATAAGAAATGGGCCAAAAATCACTTCCTACAAAAATAAACCCATAATTTCTTTTATTACATATTATAAATTTGCGAACGCTCTGGCAGTCAACATTTGAAAGAAATGATTTTTTGAAAACATAATGAAAAAAATCATGTTTGAACTTGAATTTAATTTACAGTTGTTAATAAAATTAGTTCTTTCTTTTTTACGTTTTGATGTTTTATTAAAAAGAAACTTTTGGCTTATCTTGTACAACAGAGAAAATTATGTGCATGAACATAAAGAAAATACGAACAAAATATGAAAAAAAATTACATTTAAGAGAAAAATAGTTCCTCTATATTTAAAGTACAATAATACATAATTTCAAAGTATTAAAAGAATTATTTTCGTTACTACAGAGAATATTTGACTCGCGATTGTTCAATCCACCATTTAATTTCTCTGTACCGCTAACAATGGAATATTCAAAGACCATTGGGGACACGAAATTAACGGCACAGTTACATAATATTACATAATACGTACAATTTTTTGATAAAAATTTTCGAATTTGATTCGTTTGATTCACTTGTAAAGAACAATCAATCAAATATGCGTTTAGACATAAACACATTCATCATTGAGACGCTGCGAACGAATGCTTGTTACACAATCCATGGTAGTAACTCAATTTTTCTGGCACCTGGGTTTTCGAAAGTACACGCAGAATCGTGAAGATCGTATCTTCGCGAGGACCGCAAGAGGCACAGTTTTCCCCTGAAAAATTTTACCGTAGCTAAATCGACTAAAAACGGGTCTGTGGGCCTAGATGTGGCCACCGAGCATCCTTTCATTGCACCTAGAAAGTTGTGCACTTTGGCCAATTCGATTTCGACGAGTGCCTGGCACCGGCACAACAAAGAATCCCGTGGTTCACCGTCGTAAATTTCGCAAATTTCTTCAACTGCTGTTTCCATCGCTGCTACCGGATTTTCGAAAATTTTATGGCACCCTCTGTGTGATGATCGTTCTCCAAGGTCACGAAACTTTTCTGAACTTTTATTGACCTTAGCTACTGGTAATATAGCACGCCATAGTATTCCCGGAGATTATTGCTCTCCGTGTTTATTTATAGTTTCGATTATAACATTCAATTTTTATAAAACGAGAGCGCGAATGAAAGTGCTGTCTTTTATTTTATGCTATTGTCTAGGTGTCTGTATTGCTTGAGATTTTTTTCTTGGACTTATCTGATTTCAATCATTCTAAGACATTCAGAATAACAATAATGAACGTTGTAATTTCTTGTAACTATTTATTAATTTGAGAAAAAGGAAAAGGATTTACAATGATACGAACAGTCAGGGTACATCTAGATTGAAATTTAATTCTTCTATAAAACCCTACCTATGGGCTGTCTAATGAAAGTTTGAACCTTTGATATTGAAAACTTTTAAATTTACTTATAAATTTCAATGTAAGAATATTTTAAAAACCAAAGTGGTTTGTTTTTCTGTTGTTATCAGAAAATTTTTAAATTGTTTATATAGAAATGTGTAATGTTATAAGGAAATAGAAGAACAATATTATCATTGTTATAGATGTAAGAAATATTATAACTACAATACAAGAAGAGATATAGATATAAGAAAATATTAGAAACTGCTATTATTGCAACATTACTAGAACATACTAGAAAATACAATCTTTATTCTTAAAATAAACAGTATTTTATTTCACATTCGTTGCTGACAAAATTTAAAAATTGGCTGGCAAATATGTAAAAGCAGAGCAGATCAAAGAAGCGACAAGAAGTGCAATTTTCAAGAGAATGTCCAGAGAGAATCAAAGCAAGTCTGTGTCAAAAGGAAAAGTGTAAGCACATGCAAAGATCAGAGAAAAATTCGCAGGTATTCCAGGCCCACAGATTCGAAAGGATAAGGCAATCCGCAAACAAGGCGCGCGTGCATTTGTTCGTAGGAACTCGGTAACCGATTACCAGAAGTCTGCTAATTGGAAAAAGGTGGCTGCATGATGTCTCGATCGGCCTTGCCAAGGACTTGCCTGGCCATTCTCCGATTAAACGACTGGCAGCACGCGTACCAGCTCTTCTGTATGTGTACTGCAACACAGAGACAATTCGACGTACACGATCTCTCTTCGACATGTACTTTCTTATGCACACACACACACACATGTGCTAAACGCAATGGAAACTCACCTACTTATATATAATAACGTGTACCTACGACACATGTAAAACATATAACATATGTATATGCATGAGTATGACACATGTAGAACATGTACGTATGTATAGGATATAAATGTAATACTTACATGCACATATATTTTATAAATATATATATATTTAAATAGCTACAATATATATATATTATACTATATATATATATATACATATATTATACTATATATATATATATAAATATATATATATTTAAATAGCTACAATATATATGTCGGTAATAAATAAATTAATGAATAATGTATATATATATATAACAATGAGAAATATAATATGTATATATGTTAGATAAGTACATAATTGTAACATATAATTAATATATAAATTAGTAGTATAAATAATATAAATTAGTAATAGAAATACTTACGTTTCATTGCACATACATATATAGCTAATATACAACACATGTGATAGAATTTGCTTTAACATGTATATATATATATATATATATTTTTTTATTTATGTAAATATAATAGAACGCATAAACACACTTAAATACATACACATGTGTAAACACATATAAACTAATTTCTGCAAATACATACACACACAAGTACACACATTATCTATATGTAAGTGTAACATAGAAACTTGCTTACATACACATTTGTATATGTATAAATGTGTAAATGTATACATGTGTAGGAATACAATAAAACTCATTTATACACATATATACAGTACATATGTACTAGAAACTAGCTTACTTACTCACAGACTGTAGATACTTAAATAATAAATATTTAAAAAATATATATATATATAATAAATGAATATATGATAGATATTTAAATACACATATATGCACATGTATAAATACAATAAGACCACATACTTACAGAATATAGATACATATGCACATATGTATACGTAAGTTCATTTATACATATCAATACCTACATCACATATAAAGCTACTAGTAACACACGAGCTTATTGTTAGACACACACACGTACAGAGAAAGAATTGCAGAGTCGAAGTGAGCACCGAGTGAAATTTTCTTTGGTATACTTAAACACGGAGAATCCTACAATCCCACCACATCGGACGATGACTAGAGATAGGCGTTAAGTGTGACGCAGACGCGGACACACGCGTGGCCGGGCATACGTGCTCGTGTACAGGTGTACGCGGTAGAGATGGGTTCGAGTGTCTCGCAAGTGCGTTCCATTTTTGGAATTAACTTGAAGCTAAAAAAAGGTTAAATATGAAATTTATAAGAATACATTTGAAAGGCAATCATCTCCTAAACTACTTCTACGTTGTAGAAGAAATGTTTCAAATGAAACTTACTACGTTTCACAGTGGTCGCAAGTCGATGTGCTCTCGAAGTTTCAAAGCTACATCCGAAGGAATCTCGAAAGCACGGTCCATCTGGATCAAAATCTGCGACAACCGAAAGATATCCTTTTCGAAATAAAGTAAGTTTTATTTGAAACACTCTCTTCTACAATGAATAATTTAGGAGATAACTGTGCGACACGTATACATCCTGTATATATTAATATTTACGTAATAATAATAATAATA